TCTAGAGTCAATAATCGTGTGTCTAGTCCATTTGAATTAGTTCATTCTGATGTATGGGGTCCAATAAAGAATATTTCATCTAATAAATATCCTTATTTTGTGACATTTGTGGATGACTATTCTCGTGTGACTTGGTTATTTTTGATGAAAGCTCGGTCTAAATTATTCTCTATATTTGAGACTTTTCGTAAATAAACAAAAATTCAGTTTGGTTGTCGTATACGTACTTTACGTTCCGATAATACTCGTGAATATGAATCTGATCCGTTTTCAGCTTATCTTAGTAAAATTGACATTATTCATCAGACTTCTTGTGCTTGNAGTGTGCTACACTATCTACTACCTCAGTAATTGATCATGGTGTCTCCACTGATCGCTCAGCTCTTGTAGTTCCTAATAACTATAGTGATGGTCATCGAGGTGATCGTGGTGGTCGCGGAGGTCGTACAAGAGGTCGTACGGGTNTTTGTTGGAAGTCACCCGTGCCTTGTTATTCCAGATGAATGTTCCTCGATATCATTGGAGTGATGCTGTTCTTATTTCCTGTCATCTTATTAACCGTATGCCCTCCTCTGTGTTAAATGGACAAAATCCAGACTCTATTTTGTTTCCTAGTAAGCTCTTATTTTCCCTTCCTCCTAAGGTTTTTGGTTGTGTCTGTTATGTTCATAATTTGGGTCCTGGATTTGACAAACTTGATCCTCAGGCTACCAAATGTGTTTTTCTTGGTTACTCTCGCACGCAGACGGGGGTATCGTTGCTACAGTCCTTCTCTGCACCGATATTTTACTAGTGTGGATGTCACATTTTAAGAATCTGTTCCATACTTTCCAGCACCCTCTCAGCCTTTGGATCTGGATTTTGGCTCCTCTTCTATACCACCATCAGATATTCCGCTGCCCACTGTGTTACCACCTACTTTACCTCTCTGTGTCTATTCTCGCTGTCCTCACCCATTGATTGAAGTGCCCGTACCGCCTTCTTTGTCGCCTTCTGATCCAGGAACATCAGGTAATTTAGATTCTTTACCTATTGCTCTTCGCAAAGGTACTCGTTCGTGTGTTACTAATCATCTTATTTCTCATTTTGTTTCATATGATGCCTTGTCACCTGTCTTCTCCTGTTTTACTTTTCAATTATCTGTTATATCTATTCTTAAGCATTTACAGGATGCATTATTTGATCCGGGTTGGAGGAAAGCTATGGAGGAGGAGGTGGATGCCTTACATCATAATGGAACTTGGGATCTCGTCCTTTTACCCTCTGGTAAACGAACTGTTGGATGTCGTTGGGTGTATGCTGTTAAATTTCATCCAGATGGTTCTGTAGAGCGTCTCAAAGCCCGACTTGTTGCAAAGGGCTTCACTCAGACTTATGGTGTTGATTATGAGGAGACTTTTTTTCCTGTTGCTAAAATTTCCTCTGTTTGNTTTTTTCTGCGTTTCCATTGCGTTTCCGAAATGTTTCCGAAACGTTTCTATTTTTGAGTTGACCGAAACGGTACTTCGAAACGAAATTTTGATCCTTGCTGGTGCCTCTGACCACATANTTTTTTTTGGGTCTAGATTGAACATGAAAAACCCTGTTACATGTAGATATGAAGATGGCTAGTTTTCATGCACCACCTCCGTATTGAAAAAAAATCTGATCAAATATAGCAGTAAGACTGACACTTCTTGATGACATGTCTTGTTGCAATTGTTAATATCTGAAGTCATTTATGTGTAAAATCCATTGGAAGGTAGACTGCCATTACTGTCCATTTTGAAATAAAATGCATGTCATGGTACTCCTCTGTTACTGAGAGG